AAATAATAAAAATATAATAAAAATAATAAAAAATATGATAAAAATTAAAAAAAGTTTTAAAAATATAAAAATTACGTAACTTTATTAATACATTATAAAACTTTATTATACTTTGTTAAGGAAACTTGCACAATATGAATAGTGTTATACAATTTTTACATAAAACTTTACTAAAAAGCTATTGTTTGTAAGTTTTTATTTATAGGAAGTCGTGTAAAAAAAAATAAAAACTTTTGTAAAAAAAGTTAAACTTTAACTTCCTTTTTTTTAAATAATAAACCTTTTCCTGAAAAACTAAGTAAATATAAACTTTTATTTATAAAATTTTTAATTATACAAATAAATATATAATTTTATTATCATCTTTTAAAACATTATAGTTGTAATAAGCTTTTTTATGCAAATATATAGGTTTTTATTTTTTTTTAATCCTTTTTTTATATATGATAAAGAAAAATTATTTTTCTACAAAAAAACCTTTTTTCCATACAATATCATATCCATAACAAACTTTTATAATACAAATAAAAAAAACTTACAAACTTTTATTCTCGTAAACTTAAGAAGACAAAATAAAAACTTTTATTAACTTTTTATATTTTTTTAAGTTTATTTATTAAAATAAATGAATTTTACTAATGAAACCTGCTTAATATGATATAACAAGCCGAGCGCGTGGTATTGCACCATTACGGATCGAGAATTAATACTTTCCTGAATTTCGCTTGACCAGCGCTTCACAATATCCTCATAAGAAAAAGTAATAGAAAAAAAATAAAATTTATATGAAATTGAAAAAGTAAAGTTTACTTTTATAATAATTAACAGTAAACTACCTTTTATAATTTTATATTTAACAAGCTAAACAATAAAAAATAAATGATAATTATAAGTGTTTAATAACGATACATTAAGTATATTATAACAATAATATGTAACTGTCCTTAAGTATGAGCAACAGTTATTTATTTTAATTTTCATTCCTTTATAAAATTGTTACTTTGATTGGATATTAAATTCTGTTAATTGGTTTCGTAATTTTATTTACCAATATATTTGTTATAACTAAGTTACTCTTATTGGCTTCGTAATTTTTTTAATTTTGTTTAAACTCTAATTGGCTAATCCATTTATTGGGTTTTTAACAACGTAAAAAGTGCATAACTTTATTTACTTTATATATTTTCTAATATTGTAAAATAAAATAATTTATTTTTATTGGTTAAAGTACTGTAAAAATCATTAAATAATACTTTTTATTTTTTAAAAGTTTGATAAAGCTTTTTTTAATGTAACATTTTTTGTTCTAATATAAAAGTTTTAGAAAAAATCTGTATTTGTTTTACTATAATAATTTATAAACATTTATATAATAAATGATTTTTAGTGCATTATTATTATTAAAGAATATTTTTAAATCTTAGGATGCATTTTCATAAAACATGACAGCAGCTTTTACTTTAATTATTTATAGAATCTGTAAATCGAGAAAATAATAGTAAAAAGGTTTTTTTTATGTAATTATTTTGATTATTATTTATAGTAAAAAGTTCTTTTAATAAATAATTTTTACTTATTATTTTTATTAATAAACTTTTAATTTTTTTATATAATATAATTATTAGAAGCTAGTATTTTTTGTAATAACATTTAATTTTTAAGTTTACTTACTTTTAAATTTTTATATTAATAACACTAGTACAATTTCTATTTTTTATTATATTTTTTATTTAAATTTTAAAAAATAATATACATTTCTATATACATTATATTAAACAAAAAAACTTTCCTTTTCAGTTAAATTTTTTTTTTAAAACCTTTATATTGTGTCTTGATACTTTTTAATATCCTTAGACTTAATAAATATTTAAAAAAATTACGGTCTTTTAGTTAATTTTTTATAACTATAAACTTTTATTAAAAGGTCGTAAAGATAATAATAACGTAACAAAATGATTGGAATACCCATAAAGTATATTTTCTTTATTTTTTATTATAAACTTTTAATAAAATATTGTTATAATGATAACAAAACAATATAGCTAGAGTACTAAGTAAAGTATATAACTTTTATTTCTATTATGTTATAAAAAAGATGTAATAATATATTAATAAAATAGAGTAATAATCGGAATTTGAATGCCTATTTCCAATAATGTATTTTTACTATTCCAAAAGAACATCTTTTTATTTCCTAAAAAAAATAATTTAACTTTTATAATTTTTAGTATTGAAAATTTATGCTTTTTATTTTATTTTCGTTTAGTCAATAAATGTTTTTCTTTTTCTCTTTTCTTAATATAAGATTTTTTTATCAGAATAAGTAGTTAATATTTTATAAGTTTTTTTCCCATTCAAATTTTCAAGATACAAACTTAATCATATTATTTTTTTATTAATAAGTATCTCCTTTACTTTTCAAGTTTCAAGCTTTTATATAATAAATTTTGCTTTATCTTATATTTGATCAGATGACAACATATATTCCTCTCTTCAATATAATTTTTTTTATCCACTCAATAAATTTTAATATACTTTATTTCTTATTTAATTGAATATTTCTTATGTATTTTCTCACATTTTTATTTAAAGAAATTTACTTCGTTTATTGTAGTTTTCTAATAATTTTCTTTTTATTATAATTTATAATTTTAATAACACTTCCTTTTTCTTTTATAAATATAATTTATTAGTAATATAAATTTTTGTTAAGTTATTTTATATCTTCAAAACATTTTTAATAAAAATAAAAAATTATGAACTTGATTTATACTTAAATTTAAAATTTCATAAAAATTTTTTAACTTTATTATTATTATAGATTAATTAAAAACTAATTCTTATTTATAATAACCTTCAAAAATATAATTTTTATTTTCAGTAAAATATAATCTACTTATTACAATAAAAGTACAAGTAAAATGTTACGTATACATAAAGTGTCTATATTTATTAAAATTTATAATAAAAACTTTTTTTTGGAAAAATAAACTGGTTAGAAGCAAAATGTATTTTATATAAATAATACTTATACTTTGTTAATTAATAATAACCAAAATAATAATAACAATAAACAATTCAGAAAAGCAAAAAGTATATATTTGATATTCATAAGAATTTTTATTTTATATGTAAATAATCTTTTAGTTTTGAATGAAAATATTAACAAGTAGATAAAAGATTTATATCATACAATTATTTATTTTTTTCTGCATCATAACTTTTACTCCTTTTAGAGTTAATAATAAAGGCTTCGCAGTTATTCGTATAAACATAAAACATTTTTATTTTTTATATATAAAAACTTGGAAATATTATAAGCAAACTGTTAATAAAAAACCTTTTTTATTATTTTCGTTATAAATTTTTAATAGTATTATAAATAAAAAATATAATAAGTTTTTTAGACAATAAAACTTTTTATAATATTTTTTATTATTTAATAAACTTTAACTTTTTGAAACTATATAATGATATAAGTATATATATACTTTAACTGTTTAATAATTTTAATAATAATAAAATAGTTTTTTACCAAGTTTTTATTGGCCAAGCGCAAAGCAGAAACGAGGGCGGCGCTGGAAACGGAGGGATTCTTATCCACAATGGCTTGTTTAAGAAGCCTATAAACACATTATAATAAACCAATAACATAAAAAAAAACTTTTCATAGACAAACTAAAACCTCTCAATGCCTTGAATATCATTTTGATTGGTAATGGTGACCAAAGCCCTAATCGCAGCGGCTCGGTAGTTATCGTCTTTCCCTTTTTAGAACAACTTGGTAAACATAATAAAAGTCTACTATAATATATATTATATAAGAAATTAAACATAAAAATTATTATTAACTATAATAATATTATTATATAAGAAATTAAACATAAAAATTATTATTAACAAAAATTAAATATATAAAAACTATTACGAGTATATAAAATAATGAAATCTTGTTTATAATATTATAAAAGTAAAAGTTTAATTCTTTTGAAAAATAAAAAATAATAATATAGAATTATTCGCAGAGAAAATTATTAGAGAAGATTTAAATTATAATAAAAATAATCTTGTAATTTTATAATCAATAAAGAATGCTACAGAAAATACATAAAATAATAATTGAAAGAACAATAATAAATTTAATACTATTCATATATAAAAATCTACAGTAAAAATAAATTTACAAAGTAAATATTTCTGATTAAATTTTTATTTTGAAATTCCTAACTGCTACTTTTTTTAATTATTTATGCTTTTTTATTATAACTTAATAATTTTTTTTCTATTTTTTAATAAAATTTAAAAAAAAAAAATTAAATTTAACTTCAGTAAAATCAAAACTTTTTACTTTTTTCTATAAAAAAATAACTGCAACCGTTATTAACCGTAAAGAACAATTATTAAGTTTTTTTTATTTGTATATAAAATTAAAAATTTTTGACTAATTCTAATTTTTCATGAAAACTTAACGTAACTATCACTAAATAATATTTAAAATTATAATTGAAAAATTGAAGTGTGCTAAAGAAAAAGTACCAAACAAAATAATATTTGCTACTCGCCAGCAAAAACAGGGCTAAAGCGAGAAGAGCAAAGCAGCTTGCAAATTTATTTAAACACACATAACTAAAATAAGAAAATTTGCTCTTGTAAACGTTATAACAAAGAATAGTGGTAAAAAACAAGCAATAAGCCAATAAATAAGTAAATTAGTTTAAATTAGAAAATATCATTCGAAAAAAGTTTGATAAATAATTTATATTCTAATAATTATAACTAAAATGAATTCAAATAAAAACAATTAAAAAAATTTAACAGTTTTAAAATTATATAATAACTAATTTAAAAATACAAAAATAATTTAAAAAAATATTATAATACCACTAACAAAGGTAACAGTTTCTTAATTAAAAAATTTAAATTACCATAATTTTAAAAAGTTATAGTCTATAAGGATACCACTGACAAAGTTTAACAGATTTATAATTAAAATAAAATAAAATTTAACTCCATATTAAATAAAAATAGAATAAAATCAAACTAAACTAAAACTTAAATTCAAATTAAGTTGAACTTAAGCTAAAGTTGCTACATAATAAACATAAATAACCAGAAATATCTTTAGTTAAACAAGAAGTTGCCATCAAGATGTGCTCCGCATTAGTGAGTTCCTTAATGGCGAGGTAAAGGAGACGCCGAAGCGAAGCATCTTTTGATTGGAACAACAAAGTTAAGTCGAAAAATAGTGAAGTAGCTTCTGTTACGGAAAAACGATGGCCTATTGAGAAAAAAAGAAGATAAGTTTGTAGATAGAAGGTAATACCTTTATATAAATTTCTAAAAGTTAATTCAATAATTTAATAAAAAAGTGAAAGAAAAATTAGAAAATTAAATAAACTTTAAATATTATTTTATTTAAAGAAAAATTCTATAGTATTAACTTGAAGAAATATTAATTAGAAAAAGTAAAATTTGAAACCTTAAAAATATTAAAAACAGAAGCATCATTAGATAGAAAAAAGTAAATTAAAAATATTGAAATGTTCAAAAGGAAAACAAAAAAGGTTGAAAAATTTATAGAAATTTATTAATTATTTAATATTACCTTCATTTATTAAATAAAGGAACTTAGTTAACACAAGTCGTGCCTGGCGAACGTTAAGGCCGTTCTGGCGAAAAAATCTCGTTTCTTGAAGGACAGTCGATCTAATAATATACAATAAAAAGAGTTAAAAATTACTATATAATATAATCAAAAACAATAAACTTAATAATACTATTTTTTTGCAGAGTATTATGTTTTTCAAATTTTTAAAAATATATTAAATTAGTCGAATATTGATATTTTTAAAATATTACAAAAGTTATCTAAAGTATCCATCTGCTAAAAAATAAAACTATTTAATTAAAAAAGGTAAAAAGAAACAAGTTGACCTGTCCGTTTTTCCTAAAGGATTAAAATACATATCCTCATTTTTCTTTATAGTAATTTTCATATCCGTCCACTTTAGTTTTTAATAAATTTTATGTTATGCTATGCTTAGCCAATATGGTAGTAACATTTTGTGGACTTAAAAGATATATAAAACAAAGATATATATCCAATATAAACTTACATAAAACAAATAATTACACTATTTACTAAAATATATAATTATAAAGTAATTAAAAAGTTCGAAGGAACGCACCTCACAATTTTAAATAAGTTATACTATATTTAATATTTATTAATATGCTTTGTGAATATTAAAGATGTATTAAACAATTTGGTATACTTAAATTAAGCTTACATAAAACAGTAATATCCCTGTTGTTTATTATAGTAATAATTACACTACTTTCAAAAATATGAAGTTTTAAAAAACCAAAAAGTTTGACGGCACGCACTCGACGGTGAAATAAAAGAATTAACTTGCAAAATAATTTACAAATAAGATAAGAGTATTAGTAACATTCTTCTAGTGCGGATTTGAAAGTTTGCCCAGCGGAATGGCCTAAAGGTCCGAATATTTTACTTTGAACTTTTTTTTCATGGAAATAAAAATCCAATTTATAGTTGTATTAAGCTGTTCAAGCAATACAAGTATAAAAAGGGCACAAGTATTTTTACTATTAAGCGTTTTAAAGTTTTAATATCAATTGGTGATTTTAACTAAGAAACTTGTATTGCTTGATTAGTTCAGTAGCTGTTAACTTGAGTACCTTAGTGCTGAAGGAAATGTGCTAGATAATCTTGTTTTAAGTTAGTATTAAAGATTATCAGTAGCACTTGGACACGGAAATTCAGTTATGAACGAAAGCTCAATAAGTTAAAGCTGATAATTAACTACACAGAAAAATTAACTGCGCAGTTGCCAAAATGGGTTTGTTTTGAATAGCAAGATAGCTTTAATTACTAAAGAAAAATAGTAAAAAATTATTTTTTTTCGTTTCACTTCAATAGAATGTTGAAAATTCAAGCACACCTGCCGAGTGCCGGAACCTGAAAGGCCAGCAAAAGCACTTATCCTGCCTTTTTGACAACCGAAAACTCACTCAAACCGATCAATTCAAGTTATAATACTGTTATTTTCTCAATTTTTTTTCGTTATTGCACAAAGTTATTAAATTACGCACGGTTTGATAAAGACGACAGGTAGATTCAACTAATTAAGTTTTTTTGTGCTAAGTAATTTTTTTGCACATATAACTTTAACCTTGTTTACTATATTCTTATTTTGATGCCTACCAGAATCGATCCTGTATTTTTGTTAGAAAGTTCAAAACTTCAGATTACATTTGAAAGGTAGATCGTCGGGCTTTTCTAGCTCAACCCCTTTCTATTACGACCGCGTAAAAAACGAATTCACTACTATTATTCACATTGAGAGCTAAAGCAAATATTTTTTGGTTACGAAGAACTTTATTCTCTTCCATTTTATATTTAGAAAATTTATCTTTCCTCCCTTAAAAATTACTCGCAGATAAACGTTTAAAAATCCCGAGTACTTGTAAAAGAAGACAGTTTAACAAATAAAACTTTCCTGTCACAGAAAAAACTGCAGTTTTTCTCGAACTTATTTACTATTATGGTTAAAACTAAAATTTTTTATCTTTTTTATCTGTTTAGTTATTAAATCCTATTCAACTTTTTAGAAAATAAGAGCGTATTATGTTGGTAAGCATTATGCAATGATTTCTATAAACGCATATATCCTCTATCCACGTAAAAAAAGAAAATTATGACTAAAGCTAAGACAAAGTATACCTGTGAATTTTTTTTGTGTTAAATGTTAAACTAAGGATAGCTGGCGCTTCAGACGTTATAATCTTACTAGTAATCCGCTAAGTACAAGCTATAACTCAATTCCCCTTCAATAAATGAAAGTTGATGAAGTAAATTGGTTCAGAAGTTGTCATCTTATAACCAGGTTAATTTTCCTATGTTACCATCATAAAGCCGCAGGTTTCTGATGATATTTAAGCTTTTAAAAAATAGAAAAATAGAAATAAATAAACATTTAGAATGGGAGTAAAGAAATCGATGTAAAAGGTGGTGTCTTTTTTTCCTGCATACGTAATCAAATAGTGTCTCTTCTTTTTTAAATTAATTATTTTTATGCACTTGAAAAAAAAAGTTTAACGTTACGTGAGGCAGAAAAATATAATAAGTTTAGGCTCACTTGTGTAATAACATTAGCAGGCTTTATCTTAAAATATCTTTATAATAAAATTCGTTATAACTCTACCACGCTTATATAATATGGTGATATCCATAAGGTTATCTTGCTGCAATAATATAAATCACATTTACAGAGTTTGTTTAACGTAGAGCTTAAGTCACTTTTTAAAAAATTGGGTTAATAAATTAAGTAGTAAACGTGCAAAACACGATATTTAAGGACAATTCAAGGAGAAGTTTATGTAAAAAATTAGTTTATTAACTCAAAGATTATAAGGTTGTAGAGATTGATCAAGAGGCCTTCCAAAAGCTACTGAGCTTTGGTTTATACACCCCTGCTTAAAAGTTGGCGGAATGTAGCCGTCAATACTTAGTAATTGCCCGTTTCCTTCTAAAAGAGGGAAGATTGCCCGCGAACCGAGGTTAGTAGATCCGAGTAGCTGAGTGTTAAAAGGATTCGTTATACCAATACTAAATTCCAATGATGGCGTCATGAGAGTAGAAGAAAGGCTCCCCCAGTCAGTATATTTTTCGTTTTCAAGTACTAAATTCCTGTTTTTATCTATATTTTCAGGCTTGAACTCTGTAAAAGGTTTGTTACACCCATCCACGCTTGCATTGAGTCGTTGGGCGTAAGCAAGCTCATTCTCGCAGTTTCTGTTGTAATCGTTATTGATTTGGCTATTATCATACGTGCAAATTCTAGTTCCAAAAGTTAAATCTTTATTATTTTTATAGTCACTAGGGTTTATAGCATTGGCTGCGTAACTACTAATATTACCTATTAAATTAAGTACTCCTCCTTTATTATTACTATCACCTCTCTCACTGTTCCTTCTTTTTATATTACACAAACCAGCGAAAACCAGGCCTGCACTTCTATTATAGTTGTTACCGCTAATTTCATTATACTTAAAATCATTTTTGTTATCGTTATTATTATAAATATTTAAATCAGCATTATAACTACTGTTAATAGCAGAATTATAACTAGGTCGACCAATAGGAGAATTACCACTTCTCTTGGATAATAAATCAGTATTATTATAAAAGTCAGGAGGTAAAATAGAAGGATTTAGATCAGTAATGGAAATTCCATTCTCAGGATGCAAGAAAAAAGGGGAGGATTCAGTCCGGTAAGCCTCCGTTAATGATAACGGCCGCCGCCTTAAGGTTTGCGTAGGTTTAAAAATTCCACAGGTATCTGAAGGATTTATAATTAAAGGTTGACTCGAAATTGGAAGATTCCCATGATCAAGTACTTGAGATGTCTGACTTTGCAATTGTTGGCATGGCCCGTGCATTACACCTTTATTACTTCCTTCACTCCCCTCTTCGTTCAAACTAAGGCCTGGTATTCTTCTGGACTCAACCAAAAGGTTCTGGTCGGGCCCCTCAAGAAGGGATCCTAAACTATTACGCTTATTTTTTACAAAATTAACGTTTTGATTAAGGTTGTTATTAGCATTGAATTCCATGTTCACATTATTATGCTGTCTTCCTGCTTTGTAAAGTAACTCTTCTCTAAACTTACGTAAGTCACTAGGCACAGTATCTATGCTGTGACGCTTAGTAGGTTCTAGAGACTGAGCTCGCTTTTGCAATTGAGGTCTTAACAAAATTGAATCCAGAATAGAAAAATCTTTACTTCCAGAGTGGGGGATGGGCAACTTATCACTTGAAGTATTTTGAATCTGTTGATCGCTTCCTTCTGCTGGAAGTAGATCATCTAAAGTCCGTCCCTTCGCGTGCTTGGTCCTAAAATGTCTGCGACATGAATGCTTACTAGAGTAGACTTTAGTACAACCGGGAAATTCACATCTCTCTTTTTCGGTTTGAATTGCAGGCTTTTGAGAAATAAACTTCAAGCGATCTTTCCAACTTTTATTAGGACGTCCTTGTAGTATTTTTAATATTGATCTTTTTTCAAGTTCATTAGTGTTGTGATACTGACTCCCAGCTCCATTGCTATTTCCGTTACTGTTATCGTAAAAAGTTTTAAAGTTTCTAATAGTCGTGCTCGTGTTACAATCGAGGTTGACTCTTATCTCGTTTTTGCTTGCTGCCATATTGGTATTAGAAAGTAGCAAAGTAAAATTACCCTGAAGGTCACCTTCTCTCTGAAAGGGCCCAGAACTTAATAAAAGATTTTTTTCGCCCTTAAAACCGTCTTTAAAGCTCAAGTTGGGGAGAGGCTTTCCAGATTGACGGCCAGCATCATTCTCGTTTGAATAAAAACTTACTTTTGCTTCTTTCATTTGCTGCAAATACTAAAGTATTTTAAAAGGGTTAAGTTTACTAAAAAGATATTAAAAAAGCACTGCAAAGAAAGCAGGTTTATATGCAAGCACGGCCTCTGGTAACGCTGCTAGGTTCACTTTAAAGGCCCACGTAAAGCGGTAAAGCGAACGGGCAGAGTAGGCGAAAAGGTAAGGAAATCTGTATCGCACTTTTGTATATTTATACAACTCACTAACATTTGTTGTATAGGATAAGATAGAACGCTCCCGGCTGCTTAAACGCTGAATATTTGAATTAACTTACCACTAACATTTTTAATTGGCTAGAGAAATGTAAACAAATGCGCTTCTGAGTAGAAATAGATAGATAGGCCGCTGACTATTAGCCTCATATTACAGTTAGAGTACAAGTACATGCTCAAAGATCACAATTATACAAAGCACATCCCATTAATTAAACAAAGTTTCATATTAGGTGACATTGAGACAAAAACAAAAATTTTACACCGTTTCTGATACAAAAAAACTCAACTTTTTTTTTGCGGTTACGATAAAGCTTCACCGCCAATAAGTTATATAAAGCGTTCATTATAGATGTTTCTTAAATCAAATATGCGCTTATCTACAAAAATATTCCCCAGATTTAATAATCTTTAGAAAACCGGGTTAAAAAAACCTCCTACATTAAAAATTAAAAATCCTAAAAACTTAAAAAACCTGTCAAGCTACTATTTTTAAACTTTTTAAATTGTTAGTACATTGTTTTCACTCTACGATTTGCATGTTTAAAAGACTAACCGATCTTATCCCTTTAGCAAAGGAACCACTAGGCGTACACATAAAAGCTATAAACTGTTAAAGTCCAACAACCTTTTGAAAATAGGGGTAATAGATATTATTTCTGTTATGCGCAGTTAGGCTAAGCTAAAAGTTATTGTTTCAAAGTTAAATCAACCTGAAAAAATTTTTATACATGCAAGTGCGTTCAAAGAATTATAAAGTGAAGCTCTAATGAAATCAGTATAAACAATTTACTTTGTAGAAATGCGGATTTGGTCTGAGGATTAGAACAATCAAATGATGAACGCAAACATTTTTCAGGTTAAAAAACGGAGTGGAGTTCAAAGTTTTACTAGAGTTAATATATATATGTACCTACTTATTATACCAATTTTACTAATTAGACAACGCCCTTACTAATTAATTTTTTCAATTTAACAGCCGAGAGATGAAAACTTATTGGTCTTAATGCACGTTACACTTTCTGCTTTCCCTCTTTGTTGTAAAACACTATTACTGAGATGAATAAATTTGTAACTTGGACAGTCTTTAATACAAAGAAGGAAGTAAGGTAAAAGTGAGACACAAAAATCTGATAGTAAACTTTTTTACTATATTTGAATATAATATGTACATGGCGCCACACATATTTAGAAGACAAATCTTTTGGGCTCTAAGCCTCCAATTAGGTCTTATCCAGTAGAGTTACGCATCCATGTGATGCGAGTCAAAATGCGACCAGAACTAACAATGGTCCCATAACAAAAGTTGTTGGGAGTAAACTTTTAACTACTAGTCAGAAACAATATACTAGCTTTCAAGCAAGAGCCAATACTGCATAACGGTGGAACATTAAAATTAGTACGTTTACAACCTAAAAAACATTAAAATATATAACACATAATAAGTTTCTTATTGAAAATAAATTTACTGCGGTAAATTTTATTTTTTACAAATAGATATATAACAGAGTGGGATGCTAAAAGTTAAATTTTCTTTTTTGAGATAAAATATATAAAACCAAATTATAGTACACTAAAAAAGATAAATCATGTTTATAAAACAGAAATTTTAATAGGTTAACATTTACTATTGTTGCAGCTCAATTGATTTGTGAAAGAATATTGAATCTTAAACTAAAATCCAGTGTTCCGTTAAAGATTGCACCGAACTTAAGCGTTGTTTGGCTATTGGGGACCTCTTAATAGGGCAGGAGATACTCAGTTTACCCTTTTTGACTCACCAATTAGGACGTTCATTAAAATAAAGAAATTTTCGTGAAAGCAGTAAAAGGTATGCTGAGGAAACAAATGCTATTTTCTATGTTGCGGATTTAATTAAGGTCTTCAAGCTGTGCTTTCTCTCTTCTTGGTTCTTTCTATTTTTTTACTAGCACAAAAGCAATGATTTCTTTTGAGCTCCACCACTGTTAAAAAGTTAAGAACCCTTAGCCAATATTTTTTAGACTTTTTGGGTTAAGGGATTAAAGAGTCCAACTTAGATTTTGAATTAACTTACCTTATTATTCATAATGCAGCATAGGAAGTTAAAGCATTGTAAGCAGTAATTAGGTATTTTACACTATGATTACAATTTTTAGTAAAACTGATTTTATGTGATGTATCTATGACATATTTTAGAAAAGTAGCGTTAGCAAATTTTTAAGTAGATGTATTGCTACATAATATCATCAACTTATTTTCAAACAGTCATGGACCATGATAAAAATTAGTTAAGACTAATTAAAGTAATCTAACATTGCGTTTGTTAACTTTTTAAAGCGTTTTACAGAAACTTACGTGATTAACAACTTATCATTACATAGTTTGTGCAAAAAGAATGTATCACGAAGGTAACCTAATAACTTTAATACTGGTTTCAAACAGATATATATAATAAAACTTTATAAGTGTAAGATTAAATCTTAATAATTAATATTTTCTTCTACAACTGCTAGTGTGCGGAGTATTTTAAAAAAAAATTCTAAATGGTTAATTTAAATTCAGCGTTAGTGATAAAAACCTATCTGTAGGTTGTAAATAATTTTACAGGTTTAAAATATCGCTGTTCAAATTTCTTAATTTTTTTAGCCAATGAACTTGTAAAAAAATTTTATAGCAAGACTCATCAATTTTTTGTTTATGTAATTGAGGGCACAACCCTAATTAAACATTTGACCTTTAACGGGCAAAACTCAGGGGACTAAAATAGATTTGTTTTACGTTAACGGGTAACTAAATTTACCACGTTTTTATATTTTGTTGTTCCTGCCTAATCCTTAAGAACATGGTACTCAAATTTACCAGAGATTGTTTCAGAGAACGAGCCTGTCGTTTAGGGTAATTTTCATAGACCTGCTCTTGCAAATTGAACCTGGGAGACAAGTAATAAACATACAGCAACCTATAAGGGGTAAAGAGATGTCGTGAGCATCGCGCTATTTCCTTTTTTCGTCGTCGTTGTTGATGTCAGAGTTTGCTATGCGGTGAGTGTTGTGCCACTCAGGCGACTCGAGAGCAATTAAATAAAATATACAGCTCTTCTTAATTTTAACTAACTCTATATTATATTTCTTTGTAATATAATTTAACATATTACCCTCATTTTGTTTATAATATATTAGTTCCTGAAATTGTCTAGTCTGTAAAATCAAAAAAAGTCAAAAAAAGTCAAAGGTATCATATAATAGAGTATTAAAGGCTTTTAACTTTTATAAAGAAGCCTTTCGTAAATAAAAATTAAACCCACAAACTAAAATTTTATTTACTTTCAGTTTTTTTTTTATATTCTAAAGGCTGTCGTATGACCTGTGGATCTCATTTTCCTGCGAGGTATTTTCAAATTCTCTATTAAGAAAAATGTTATTAGCAAATAATAAGGAAGTTTAAATTAGTTGTCTTATTTGAACTTCTATCTGTGTTGTAATTTTTTTCCGAGCCGAATAATAAAAAAATTAATTTGCTTTTAAGAAGCAAAGTTTAATAATTAACTAAGTTACAAACCTGTTCATTTATCATTCCAGAGACCAATAGCTTAGTACGTTCTAATGAAGTAATATTTTAAAAAATTTATCTTATCAAAAAGCTTTAGCAGGCTAACAAGGTGATACATTTGACCTCAAAGTTTACAGAGTGGCATAAATTTTTATTAACTTCTTTAAAATCAAAAAAATGTCATTAAAAATGCACAATTATACATTCAAATATATTTAAAAATAAGTAAAATTAAGTTGATGAGAATGCTTAAAAAAACATTTCACCACAAGCAGTAAAGAATATATTGGGGTCACCTGCGCTCCTTTCAAGCTGTTAACAGCTTTGTGACCAAGCACAAGGCACCAACATACCGGGATCGAGAGTTGTTGTCGTAGCAGCGGTTAGGAGAGTTGATGCGTATACTCAAGGTCGGGGGTTCGATTCCCACCGACGTGACACTCTTCTTCGGAGTAACCTTACCATGTCACAAGGACAAGCTAAATGCTATATTCATTAAGATATTTTTAGCTGAGTTTTCAAATGAAACGGCGAAAATCTTCACAGCATGGAAATTCAAGTGACGTGAAGCTATAGTGTTTGCACATGAATTAAGTGGCGTCAAAAGTCAAGGCAAGCCATCCAGGCGCTATATTCTCTATTGTGTAACTAAAGGTCATTATTTCTCGCGCCTTAAGCGAAGGTTAATCATGATATACGTAATTTCTGTTTGGACTTAAGACCCATGACTTTAGCGAGTGCGCTAAAGCAAATTGCAGCGCTTTCTGGCAAACGCACTTCTTTTTTTTAGCAATGATACTCTACATCGCGAACTACAGGGCTGAGAAGCTGAATGCACTATGAAAAAAAGCCATGTCGTTTCTCTTTACTAAGGGATAGCTGGACACGCTAATCATCGTTAACTGGAGGAGAGCAAGAACGCTTACGAGGAAGAGGCGCACAACACTACCGCACTCGTGACGCACTCTTTGTATGATACTCGGTACTATACTCTTCTATTCTAAGCCCTTTGCCCTCGTGATTAGCCCGCTTAATTATTTTTTACATTACTCACATATATATATGGACTTGATCAGCTATGGGGGAAAGCTAGGGTTTCGTTTATTCCCTTTTTGGTCGGATCTCGCCCCTTGGCCTGTTCTTCTCCTTGTTCTTGTTCTTAATTTTATTCTTATTCTTCAACTAGTTTTTGTGGTTACTTGGTCTTGGTCTTTTTTTAGTTCAGATACTTTTGTTTCTGTTCTATGCTGTCATGAAAAATAATTTTACTAATTATTTACACTTAACCCTGAGTGCACAACGCCCTTCCGTCTTCAATGAAATAATTTCCTTTAGGGTCGTTACACTTTGTGTGATAGTTGAATGCTAATTGAGAGTCCTCTTCAGACGCGAAGGACCTAGATAATGTGCTTAAACATGTGTTATGGCTCGAGTGCTCAAAGTTGTTAACTAGTTCGAGCACCAAAAACTGCAATTCGTTAACAAATTTTATATTAAAATATAGATTATACTTCTTGAATTGAGACGTTATAACAGAAAATTTATTAAAAAAAGTGTTTCTTAAAGCAAAAATAGTAAGTGTATATCTAAATGCATAAAAGAAGATAATTATCTTATTAGTCACTGACATAAAGACCACATGAAGCAATAGAAAATGAAAAATTACCATTACCGAAAGTCATATCATGTTTAAAGGAAATAGAAAAAGTATTAAAAAGTGCTTTAGGGAAAGTGGTATATACCCAAATACTGATCAGAAATTAATTTTTTTTTGATAATATTGAAACAAAAGTCACAAGTGTGGTAACAGCAACCAAAAATTGACATATTACGTAAGCCGGATCCTGTGAAAAGAGAAAAAAAAGACTTAAACATCATCTCAGGTTCTAGTTCTGTATAGCTTTTTAACGCTCAAGAGCGAATCTCGTTAAGAATTTCTTCAACAAACAGCGGGGGCTCAGTAATGTGTGAAATGAGAACTTATACTGGCCTATTTTATCGAGGTTTAAAGTAGGAGATCCGAATTCATGTAAATAAAGCTTGCTACCTTTTTTAAGAAAAATTGATAGGTTACGAAATTTGCAAACTTAGATATTTTATATTCTAGTAGCTATATGTTGTAATGTAGGGGTTGGCCCAATCGAAAACACACTAGCTAGTGAGCAAAAGGTTGTGGCAAGTACATCGTCTGCCCTTTTTTACTTCTTTTTCTGTTTGTTCATTTGAGATGGTGCGTGTTGTGCTGCTCAAACATCTTAAAAGTTATCAAATTATAGATTTTACATGCTTTAAGTTACGAGAACTATGTATTATAGAGAAACAAAGATATATAATATAGGTTTGTCGTAACACAAAAACTATATGATAACCTATTTGAAAACCGCTGAGGTGTTCAGGATCACAACACGCACCACTTGAAATAAACAAAAAAAGGTTTTTTTTATTTATTTATAACAACGGCTTGCCAAAGGAGTGATTTATAATCAATTACTGCCTAATCTCCTCTATTAATCGAGGATGCGGAAGCCACAACTTCCCTAACGAATCATTGCGCCATCACTGAGCTTTTAATTTCTTCCTAACTCGAGTGTTGATTTTGTTGTAGAAAAAAAAGTTTTCTTACCGCCTGGAAAACAAGAGTTCATATATCTTGCCCTTAACTTTCGCCTTCTCTTAATCAACTATCTGATATGGTCTGGTAGGTCATTGCTGGTTTTTGCGTTCTTAAATAAAGTGGTCTACTATAGGCCTCTTTATAGCTCCCATTTGCACAACAACCACGTCTAAAGCAAAGGCTTTCCCAACGGTGGGCGTCATGGCATCTATTCTTTTGTGTAGCGATCCCGAAATGTTGGCCAACTAGTTACCTTAATCCAAGTACTCGAGGCCGACTTTTCTCCTATCTCTATGAGGATGGGGTTATGCTCAGAAGAGAGTTCAAATAGTGTATTGACGGTGACAAGTACGTAGATATTTTGTGTTACCTTAATATATAAAATGTCGCAAGCCCCTTATACTGGGCGATGGGTTGGGTTTTTTGGGCCAATAACAATTTAAACCTTTTCCGTGCTATTTCGGCAAACCTCTTTCCCTTGGCGTTCACCCGCCTGCTTTACCACAAAGGGCTGTTACAGTTTAAATCTCCAGTTATTAAAATACTGGGGGAATCCGCAAAAATCTTATTATCTACATCAGTTTTATGCATAACCATATCAGGTGTTTTATAAGCGGTAATTACATCGAAGTTCCCGTTGTAACAGAGCTCTGTATCCACCTCCGAAAATTTCTAAACCTTACCAAGCCGAAAAAATAGAGCTCTTGGTGAGTAACGTTTCTTTAAAATTAGGACCGTTGCGCCTCCACCTCCAGAAACTCCCCTGTCGCACGAGTAAATAGAATAGTTATGTACTTTAAATAAATTCCTTTATGTGTTTCAGAGATGAGAATTTTTTTTTGGTTCATTCGGGTAGTAAGTTTGCTTCTTTTATCGAACTCCCCATGGAAAATTGAAGGTGCACATCCCCCTCCCTTTTATAACACTAATTGGCATGCCTCTAAGTGGTCAACCCCTCACAGCAGTACATACACAGTTTAAAAAAGAATACCTCTTAGCTGTCAGGAAACTATGGCGAACTATATAACCAAACTAAGCCTCAATCAAAAAAAAAATTTTTTTTTTTAAGTCTATTCATGTTATTGACTTAATTCTCTAACAACTTTAGCAAAATCCATTGCTTATTTAATTCTTGAGTTATATAAAATGTAAAAGTGTATTAATACTACTTGTGTTATTAACTGAACTGTTTATACTATAATATACTCTTACTTAAACACTGCGTACTTGTAATGTTTAAATAAGTTTACATACGCACTTTCTTTTAGCGCAGGCAAGCTTCTTTTATATGTCTTAATTTTAAAAATGTTTTATTAGTGCGCCTCGTGGTCAAAATAATTCCAACAAACGACACAACCTTTCGATTTTATGCACTACGCCTAATCTCTGAACAAGGCAATTACTGTAAAACGATTTACTGGAAGTCTACTCAAAATTTAATAGCGTCGTAGTTTAGTGAATGGTGAACTCTCAGGTAATTAATTTATTTATTTTACAAAGTCAGCCAATAAAATTTTGATTATATTTAAAGTTTTTACGGTGTCGCAAAATTTGAAAATGCCTTATATGCTTGGGAACTTTTTGCATTTCTTGGAGTGTTGTCGTCCCTTTTTTTATGATACTATTGAGACCATTATGGAACTTAATACCAGAAGTATTTCGGCGTAAACTAAAGTCTATTTGGCTAGCATTTCTTCTTTCTTACAAACGACTTACAATATTCTTTTTCGGTAATGCTTACAAACCATGTTCTTCTGGTACTTTCATGTTATTAACTACTAAAGTGGCTATTAAATAAATGAAAACTTATTTCACTAATTATTTAATTTTTTTTACGTAATTTTTAAGAGTTGGTCTTTTGAAAATACTTCTGCTTTACGTAAATTGGAGTTAAATACTTTATTGGCGGAACAACACAACTTAGGCACTCTTTTGAAGCCTATAAATAAGGATGAACTTGAGCTGCACCTGATTACTGCAAAAGGTTTTTTATTTTATTCATACTTGTATATAACTTAAGGTTAGAAATATATTTTCGAGTTAAGAACTCTATACTAAATTGGTCATAGTAAAGTTTGGTTCTTAATTTTGCGGACCTTGTAAAAAAACATCTACGACCTTCGAGACTCTCGGTATATATGTGAATACAGATTGCAATATTAAACTTAATAACATGATCGTAAATTTTGTTTGAACCTTCGCTTATAAGGAAATCGTTTTGTTTGTAGAAGTTGATTTGTCAGGGGACTCTTCTTCCGTTCCATTTCAGGGCGTCTCTGTAGTTCCCGAATTCCGTCTCTTTGATGTTATCTTTTTATAGGACAATTGATTTTAAGCCCATTTTTATTTATCCTCGTCTTTCTTTATAGTGGACTTGTTTAATATCTAGCCAACTCACCCTCTAGCTAGCAGGATTCTCTTTAATTTTATATAGATTTTTTTATTTGAAGGCTATTAGAATTGGTCTTACATACTTTAAATTTTTTTTAGATATAAAACGGTCAATAGGGATTAATAAAGAATTTTAGAAAGTTCTCGTCTAACTCGTTTAGTGTACTATTAAAGGCTAAAGGCTTTATGGCACTATTGAAGAACAATATTTATGATTATAAATTTCTTATTTCTTATTAACTAAATTTTCTTTTGGATATAATAATTTTCGTTCTTTTTTATTTGGTTTAAGTTGAGTCGCCTACAATAATTTTTCATAATTTTTTTTTATAAAGCCTTTTAAAGGACTGAAGGCACTTGAAATTTTTACTGGAAGTGATTCTGAAAAGTTTCAGCTATTTATTGAAAAGTGTCACATCGGATTGCTAGATTGACTTAAATTAATAAATCTTTGTAAATTATAACGAATACTTAAATAAAAGCAATTATGATACAATATTGCCCTTTTCGTTACTTATGTAGAAAAAAATTTATATTATATAATGTAATCAGACATAGCTTTTAAAATTTAACTAAAGCAGGTATGGTGAAGCTTAAAGTGTTCATAAATTTAGTCGGCACTGTTACAAAAAAATTTACTGAGAATTTTGTAGGGCTACTTAATCTGGCATTCGAGTTCTGCGCAACTTCAAGTACACTAACTTTTTATTGGTTGTACTAATACTCAACTGCCGGACACACAATTGTTATTGGCTCTTTAAGTCGGAGTCATGGCAGGCAATTCACTTTTCTTAAAAAAAATTTGAAGGAACTTTTTAACAAATTAACTTTTATTAATATTTAAGTAAATTTCCATATAATATAATTAGCTCTTGTGTTTTATAATTTAATATACAGCTACTACATATTTGAAATTAAAAAATATAGATTAGATTAAGATGTGCTTAACATTTAAAAGAGAAACCCGGAAACTTAAAGTACACTCCAGCTTCTCCCAGTCACGAAGTAGAACAAAATTTTTTGATTAAATTTTTAGACATCTATAATAATTAGTTTATTCGAAAACTTTTCTTTAAGGCTCTTAACTTTTAACTATTTTTTTGTGAACCATTAAATAATTATACGACCATTAAAATCGTTAATTATTACTTCAGTTCATTTTTCCGAAATTCACTAACGCCAAGTAAATATTATAACGGACTTGTTAAAGCATTCGCTATTTTTAATGATGCATGCATGACAAGCTCATGTAATTGGTTAATGCATTTCCTTGCTTCTATATATGACTAACTTCGGCCAATTATCCTAATTAGTACCAAAATACCGATTGAAGTAGAGAAAAAGAGTATGACTTTATTGATACAATACTTTAGTCAACCATACAGCAATACATTTAGTGAATTCATTACTTTCAAAGATAGCAGGGGTGAAGCATTACTACAGGCACACCCATATAACTGCGGAGCTGTAAAAATTATATATTACTTATAATTTTTAACCAATCGTATGTCTTCCTCACGAAATACAGTGAAAAAAAGGAGATCAACCTCTTGAACAGCGGCAAACAAAAAAGGCAGCACGAAAGAATTGTCGTTGGCGGTCGTTTCTTTAAGGGAATGGAAATACTGAAGCTTCTTCATAATGCATCGGAACGACTTCTTAGCGTAGTATTGCGGAATAAATAAGCATGTGAAAGAGAGCCCGGGATATCCAGTCGCCAAGCCCTCAGAGGCAGATGCAAGGTCGGCTGCCCAGGTGTTAAGATCAAGCGCCTCCGCATAGGCCAGCAGTAAGACTGCGTGTTGAAAGCCTTCCATGTGCTGCCTCATTTCATCCAACACGTGGCCATGGCGGACAGCTGGTGGGTGTAGGGAGCTACTGCTTACAAAATTTCCTTAGCGTTTATTAATATTAGCACTACCTGAACTTCCCGCGCAGTCGACAAAGTGGATGTACTTCTGCACATAAAAATTCTTTTTGTACGAATTGTAGCGGCTTTTCTTTTTTCCGTGGCGCACTAAAAACTCATAGGGGGCGCCAGAAGAGAAGACCCGGTCGTGCGCTACTTCGCTCATTAGCTGAGAAGACCGAGCCGACCTCGGATCGATATCTTTAGAAACCAATGAAATTGGGCGGTTGAAATTAGAGCCCAGGAAATTAGAAGATAATAAAAAAAGGGCACTAACACGTGAAGTCGCTAATAAAACGATGGAAAAAGTGGGCCTCTCGCTTTTTATCTCGTTTGTGGTAGTAACTCTTGTTAAATACTGTCATTATTTAAATGTAAAAATTTGAAAAGGAAGGAAAAGTACTGAATTAGAGGAAGACGAGCTCCAGCACAATGAAAAAAATTTTGGGCCTTTTCATTAATAATAAGGAATAATAACATTACCATGAAGGTTAACAAATAAGCATTAACTTTTAACAGAACATTTTTTATTTTTCTCCATAAGGGAGTCGGTGGAGCGGAGAATCTTGCTGTCCCGTTGGGTCAGAAGCGAAGAAAGCGTAAAGCTGGTAACTACGTGGTCGGTGGGGCGATAAAGATGGAGAAGGTCCCAAGGGATGCACAGCAACACGTGGCTTGCAATAATAACCAGCGGCTTGTAAGGATAGAGTGACCCACCAATCCACTAGCACATATTAAAAAAAAATACGCTCAAGTCAGAGATGTCCGGCAGATATGGCGGCGCAGCTAGTAAGTCTTGCTTCTTGAGAGAATGTGAAAGGATACTGGAGAAGAAGGAGCCGAGATGCGAGCCGCTGTAGGATCCCGATTTAGAACGAAGGTGCGACTAGAGGAACCTTCAGAACTGAAAGAGGCGATACGAATAAGGAAAGATGAACAAACTCGGTTGGCGGGCGGCGCTTTGCTAGGGGCAAGCGGGCCAGGAAAACAATTAATAATCTCAGAAAACACGAATCGGAGTTCGTCGAGGTTGGTATGACTATCCTTCGGGGGCTCATTATTATTAATACTACAATGATTATAATTATTATTATCATCTTTATTATTATAAATATTTTCATTATTATTTTTGTAAATATTATAATCATCATTATTATTAAAGTCGCTGCTGCTTTCATTGGTCCTGCAAGCTTGAAATTGAACAGATATCAAGTCTTTTTTCTTCTTGCTCACATGCCCTGCAGCCCCCAATAAAATGAGTCTAACTGCTGTTTGGCCAGAAAACTTGTTATATAAAACCTCCAACCAAAAGACTTTCAAAAACTCTCTCCGCGCCAGCAGTGAAGTAATGCGGTCGGTACCGACCAGTAGCCAAATGCCACGAAGCACATGATTGGTCAAGCTCTTCTGAGCGAGTTGAATCTTCGGTGCCTGTAGTTTGACGGACTTTCAAGTTGGTGTTTTTTTTTGATTGGGCGTCAAGCGATGTGAGCCGCATGGGGAGTGGTTCGATCTGCCGACCAATAATAATGATTTTCATATTAAAAAAATTAATGACAAGCATATTCACTATAAATATAATAAGATAAGAATAATAAGCCACTAGAGTCGTGTTTAAAGCTGCCAGCTTTCCGTAAACAGCCGCCACAGGGAGGTTTCCATCCTCTACTATTTTGTAAATTTCTCCGCCTTCGGAAATGGTCCAATACTTTAGCTCTTGTTCGGACCGCAAGCACTCCTAATGTATTAGAGCAGTCCGTGCGGCAATGAGTCACGTGTTCCGAGTGCGCAAAAATAAGGGGCTAACGCAAATCCAATGACCGAAAGCGAGATCCGTAGAGGCAAGATGGCACCCATTAGTGGACTTTCCGCCAAAAGCACTTTTCAGTGCTTCTGTGAGCTTTTCAGCAAAAACTTTTCTTTTTATACACAAAAAATTATGACTCGAAAGAGAAGTGACTTACGTCATTAAAAGTGCTGGAAGGAGAGATCTTTAGAAGGCAGGAAGAGTCTGATTGATGGCCATTTATTAACTTAACGAACATGTTGATCCCCGCTAATAAGTATCATATGAAAAATAAAGCAGTAAATATACTTCAAATGCGTACGGGCAGCGCCTTTCCTAATTTCAAGCAAAGCTCTTCCTCCCACGCGAACAGCACGCTTCATGGTGGTGCGCGGGGAATAGAGCAGCACATATTCCTCAATTCTAAGGAGGTAACATACTCTCTTCAAGGACGGGAGTTCGTTAGTCATTTCCTTATATGTCTTTGCTCTCATTGGCGAAAGTAAAAGAGTTTCCTAAAAAAAAATTAATGTCTTTTAGCATATTAACTTGGATAAAATATGATTCGGCAGTAACACAATACCTCGGATGGTGATTGGACCTTTTCATTAACAAAAAAGGAGTTTACGTTACGATTTTGTGCGCGTAAGGAACTCATTGAAAGACTAACCAGGAATAAATTAATGATGCATTAAAAAAAGCCAAGAATATTGCACATGGCCTCTCTGAGAACGTGTGTGTTTCTATCCTTCAAAGTTAGTAAATCCAAACTACCTGATACAAATAAGTAAGAAGCAGCCCATTACCTTTTATTACATACACTTGTATAATAAGTATAAAGCCTGTGTAAGAGCTTTCTAGTGATCGATCAACGAACAAAAGCAATGCAAAGAAAAAAAATTGCTCACGGCGGCTATACCCTGCCGGAACTGCTTCAAGTTCGCGCTCATTCGATAGAGACTGTTGCATACAACTTTTTCAGTGAATGCTACTTGTTGAGAATAGTAGTCGATGGTGGATATTTTAGCAAAGTGCCTATTGGCTACATCCTCGCTATACAATTTTTTTAAAGAAAATAGTAAGCGAGGTTTTTTATTAGGAAAACCTCGTAAATTCTGAAAAAGTATTTAATAGATGTTGTTCTTCTAACGGAAAAGTCTATTACAAAAATTTGATATATATATTAATAGAAAGTAAAACGTCGGGAAAAGAAAAAATATTATAAAAAAGACTAAATAAAAATCCAAATTTTAACGAGTTTATAATTATATAATAGTGAAGTTGCAATTTAAGAAAATACTAGAATATATGCATATATTTTCTAAAAATATAATGAGTTGCATATGAAAAGTAAACTTCAAAAAAAGAATTATAACCAGAACTTATATAATATATAGTAATAATAAAAATAGAAAAAACTAATAAAAAATAAATTTTTAAGAAAAATAATAAATTATAAAAAAAAGATATGCATTTATTTTATTAAAAATAAACTTAAGAAAATGAAAGTTTTATTGAGTTCAGTTTATAAAAATATAGTAATGTAGTAAACATTAAGAATGCTTTAATATTATGCTACGATGTTATTAAAGAAAAAAACATTATCCTCGATTTCTATTGTTCCATTAAACTTCAAAATAATACTTTTAAACCAGATGTTCTGATTGGATGGAAGACACTGGAAGGATCACAGCGATGAACCAGGCCGCTTAGCGATTGGACGCGCAAATATAAGTCCAATAAGTACAAATTCTTATTGATAGTTTCAGAATCGCAACAGAATAAATAACGAACCAATCGTTTAGAGATTTTAAAAAGCTAAATAAAATAATGAATTCAAAATAATATTGAGTTACACAACTTTTATAATTATAAATTATTATTATTATGAGCACCTTTTTCAAAAAGTTTACCGAGTGCGAGTATAAAGAAAAAATAAGACCATCTCCGGTGCCAAAAAGATCCATATACAAAAAACTAGCGCCAAATAAAGTAATAGGATACAATTTATTTAATAAAAAAGATAAAATATAGTATTTAAATAATAAAGAAAAAAAATATTTATATAATTTAAAGATGCCAATAATTATTGATATAGTTATATAATTCTTGTTTATAACGTACAAAACTAAAAATAAAAAACAGATTAAATAAAAAATATTAATAACGTATAATTAAGAATGGAAACATTTATATAAATAAAAAGTAAATACACCTATAATTAATAATATATTCATAAATAACATGTAAAAGAAAACGTAATAAAAATTATCAAAAAATAAATAAACCGAGCCGAGTCGAAAAATTGGCGAGACAAACTTTCATCGCCCAGTAAAAGCCTAAACATATAAAAAAGGGGTCATTGGCAAATATTATCCAATAAAAATATCATAATGTAATGAATATACGCAAAAGAATTGGTGATAATAAAGCAGCAAAATCTAAATACATAATAAAGGTGATGTTTAAGCGTGATTTTATTTATAGTAATAATTAGTAAAAGCAAAAAAAAATAATGTGCTAATGAATATACTTTTATAACATTAATAAATAAAAGTAAAGATATATCTTCATAAAGAATGAAACCAGTAAAAGTTATTATAATAATAAAGTAAAAGAACAAAAAATTGAAAAAATTATTATTCAATAGCAGGACGAAACTAAATAACTTTTAAAAGCTTTAAACAATATAAAGCATTAAAAAAATACACTAAAATAAAGAAATTATGCGAATATCCCGATTAGTTCATATTATAACGAAAACTTCTTATTGGGGAGCTTTCGATCATTTTTAAATTTTTTTACTATTTTTTATTATTTGTTATTATAACAGAGGTTCGATACATAGTGAAATACAATAAAAAACCTGACTTCCGCCAAATTAAGAAAGCAATGTATCAAAAAAAATACAGAGACATTGTTAGTCGCGAACCCCAACGCTTTCTGCGCGCAAAACTCTATCTGTTATAGAAGCACAATAATAATAATAAAGAATACTATAGAAAAATACAATCACATTAAAGTTAACAACGAAAAGTTTGCTATTTATCGTGATTTATAAAAATAAGAACAACTTACGTAGAAAACTGTAATAAAAAGTAAACTTTTTTAAATTATATTAATAAGTTGAATGCTCTATATTTTTTGGTTTGTAAAATAGTAACAAATAAGTGCGTCATTGTTTTTTTATCACTAAATAAATATTTTATCAAAATAAAAACTTGAAATAGAATAAAATAAAATAAAAGTATTTAAAAAAATAATGCATAACTTTTTTTTGTAGTTTATAATGATATTTAGATATAAAATTACTACAGGAGTATAAAAAATAATAAAAAGTTACTTTGAATATGTTAAAGAAGAGCAACTACATTTTTATAATTAAATACAATATAGTTTAGGAATTTTTTAATATAACTATAAGAATAACAGAAAATAAACAAAAAGTAGTTTTTGTATTATGGTGATATTTTTATAAATTTAACGTTTATAAAATTCATTAAGACATATGATTGGTTAATATTTATATATTTAAACCAATAGTAAACATTAAAAAAGCGATGTAAAAAAAAACTTGTTCCAAAATTTCAGAAGTAACAAAGTCCTCTTTTGGATAGCATGAAAGACACACTGGAGCAAAGCACTGATCCTAGCATAAACAAATAGCAATGGTAATAGAAGTAATAGCAGTAATAACTATATAATATTAATGATAAATAGTTATAATAATAACTACAGTGATTATATCACTACTCGTACGAATTATGGTCATAAAAAATAATAAACGAACCAGAAGAAGCAATGCGATATTGTGAAAGACTATTGAAACTTTGTAGTCATCACCGACAGCTCTAAAGCAAGACTGCGCATTTTTATATAAAGCGACGCAGCGGAGTGAAAGCTGTAGTAAAAAATAGATATAAACTTCAAGAAATTTAGAAAAATAATGAAAAAAAAGTGAGGGAGTATGTTTTACTAAAACTGCTTAAGACTTTTTATTAAAATATAAATTTATAAAATTTATAATAATAATGAAAAAGAAATGTTAATAGAATAAACATATATAATAAATTATTTCATTTATTCATTACTACATCATCCTAGTAATTAAAAAATAAGGGTAAGGGAATTATAAAATAATAATAAAAAAATTATTAGAATAAAAATATATGTTTATATATTCATTATTTACTACACTATCATATCTTTCTTTTAATAAAAAAATGCTCATACTTTTGAATGAAATACAACTAAAGTAGTTTAATAAAATAAAATGTAAATTTAAGTTATTATTGAAACAATGAAAAAAACTTTTTAATAGCGTAAACGTATATTAAAAGTTTCTTTATTATTCATAAATACTACATTACTATATTTTATTTAAAAATTAAAATTTTCGATGATATCATTTATTATTGATTATTATTAATAGCGAAAAAAAAATTATATACATAAAAAGCAAAAAATGAATAAATTTTAGAAAAATAAATAAATGTATTGATAAGTAAATAAGAGTTGATATATATAGAAAAAATACAAAATAAAAAGTAAATACGTTTATAAAAAAAAAGTTAAAAAATAATAATTATACTAAACCTCCGAAAAACTTTTTATTTTACATTCTTCTTTTCCTTCACGTATCACTAAAGGCATAACGCAGCGAGAATTTGTTTGGAGCAGCGCATGAAGAACTTTCCCCTTAACAAAATAAGTAAACAGCGCGTTAATAATAATATACATGTTTTATACTTAAACATGTAAAAGAGTTTCACTCGGTTATAAAAAACCACGTGACTATTGCATGACCCGACTACGGAACAGAGGGGTCGCTTTAGGTATGAGTCGACTCGGCCGAGATAAACGGTCGATAATTTTGATATAAAAATTATTAAAAAACTTTTTTATTTTTTAATTAGTTATTTTAAAGTTATTAAAAGTTTGTTTTTACAAAGATATTCCATATTTTGATTAATTTTATAAAATTATATTAGGAAAAAATTTTGAAAAAAAAACAAAAATTATTTTGATGTTAAAAAAATCTCTAAATTTTTCTAATTTTTCAAAATAAAAAATAAAAAGTAAAACATTATGAATATAAAAAATATAAAATTTGATATAAAAAAGGATTAAATATTTCAATATTTTCATTGGTACTACTAAAGTTTTCTTATTATAATTAAAAAATACTTTTTTATAAAAAACTTGTCCGCTTTGGCTTAAGTTTTCTTTACTGCAAAAAGCAAGAGCTTCATTATAAGCATCAAAAGCTTAAAGTATATAAAAAAATAAGAAACACCAATAAAATAAACAAAAAATGGGAAAAAAAATAGTTTTCATATAAGAAAGTAAATAAAAAGGATCAAAAAATTTAACGGGATAAAAAAATTATTGAGCACAACAAAAAAAGGTCTTCTGCATGAGACAATAAAAGCACTTTTGTTTATAGTGTTCGTAAACATATTAATGTCTTCATACTAATATAAATAAAAATATATTTTTTCGAATTGTTTAATTTTTTTTCAAGCTATAAAAATAGTGAACTGTAAAAAATTTGAAAAGTTTTTCAATATATATATATGCTTATAATAACAAAAACATCACTGTAACAGATCCCTAAAAAAACTTATAACCTTTTATATTATTTGTAATCTATTCTTTATTTCAATAATGATTATTATAAAAACTTCTAAAACTACTACAAATATTAACAGTTTTTGATAGAAAAGGGTAAACAGTAATAATAATAATGAAAAATATTAATAAAAAGTATTTTTTCTTTTATTATTTTATTGTTATTAAACTTTATAGTCAACTTTAATATATAAATAATGCAAAATATTTAATAAAAACTTTTCAATAAAAAAAGTTACAAAAAAATTATTGATAAGAATATTAAAGAAAACTTCATGTTTATAGGTAGAAATTAATAAAAAGAAATTTCATTTTACTATTTGAATTTATTATTAAACTTTTAATGTTTATTATTATCTGACTTCTTTAACTTTAACATAATAATGATAATAATTTTTATTTTAGTGGACACTTTCCTTATATAATCTACTATTATTATTACATTAAAGTTTCAACTTCTATTAACAACTTGTACTCGTTTTAATGAAAGTAAAAAAATTCAGACTATAATACAAAATAATAAAAGATACAAATTTTAAAACGAGACCAATATTATTATAAAAAATATCCTTTTTAAAAGAATAAATAAAAGTTACTTATTTTAATGAGTGACACTAAATTATATAATGCAGTCCAAAAGCAAAAAAAATTGTTTTTTCCTTATTATTCTACTTTTCGTTACATACTTGAAACAACAAAATTCTTTTTTACTTGTAATTATTGTTGATTACTTCTTACTTAAAAAAATTAAAGCTTGCTCTACTATAAACAATACATTATTATATAACTAAAAAATATTCATTAAAAATAAATGATATCACTACAATAGTAAAATTTAATAAGTAAAATGAATTATGATATAAGAATAATAAAATATTGGATCTATTATTAAATCACAGCAATAAATATTATGAGTGTAAATAAAGAACCAAAATTATTGTAGTTGTTATTATTATATACCTCTCAAACATTCATTGTTTTTCAAGAGCGACTTCCCACAGAGACACCAAAACTTGAACAAAAGATCACGCGAAACATTTTGTAGTTCTTCTTTAATAACAAGCTTCCGGTTGTATCTTTTTTTTTTAATAATTCAGTAATTTTTGAAGGAATTCAAAAATTGTAGTGATTAACCTCGCACACTCAAAAGTCTCATAAAAATCGTCGTCAGGCTCATCTTCCGGGGTCTGCTGAAGGCTCTTATAAGAATGCACGTGTCCACATGGCCCCCCGAGCGTCTGTTTTTTTTTTTGCTTTCATTTATAAAAAATGGTTGTTTGTGGGAAACAACGAAAACCCGTTTGTTTCGCGGAAAAAGCCCCAACACTTCGTGGGACTCCCGCAGCCAATCATGCTTGATCAAAGCCTCTGAAAGCAGCAGCAGCAGCTCGAAATGCGCTCTACAATGGGCGGGAACACTAGCCTTCAAAATACCAAATCATGTTTAATGAGCAGCCTGTCATACAGGTATATAAATAACCAGTAACAAAGCTTCAATGACACTGATGGCCCTATCATATTGGCCGCTGCTGAGAAAGATAGTAGCCAGACGAATTCGTGAATTCAGAAGCTTAGTGGAATCCGAGCTGCAGAATTGATGGGGGAATCAGTGCAAGCAATAGTGAAAGAGTTAGAGGGTGCCCCGTGGCTAGTGATGCACGTGGTGTTAAAAAATTACTTTTTTTTTTTTAAAAAAACTACACCTATAGAAAAGCTGCTTATACTCATTAAACTATTTTTTCATTAATAATAATGAAAAACCCTTCAACGGACTCTATCATTGCGGTAGCCCCGTGGATGAGCACTTCCGCTAGTGAAAAGTGGCCGTAATTCGCCATAACGCCACTCAGCTCTAACAACACATGGACAGCCTCACTTCGCTAGAATATATATAAGGAGAGAGCGCAAAATCCTGTAGAAAGAAATTGGCGCCTTTTTAGAATCTTGCATCTGTTTAACCATTTTGCTGCAATAAAAAAGAGCGCGCTGCGGGTCTTGCTGCTCTCCACACGCTACACACAAACGTTTTAATTCCACTTCGTCAACATTAGTGTGAAAAAAGTAGTCTATCTTTAACGCCTTAAAAAAAATACAAATAATACTTAAAAAATCCCCAACATAAATAGTATATTATTATAGTACCTCTTCAAGGAATACAGTGCCGAGTCGGTTTTTCGAAGGAAGCATCTTTAAACAACCATAACAACAATTGTAGGAGTAATAATAATTATGAAGCACCCGCGTAAACAATCTGAGAAGGTTACGGCCTTGAAGGGAAAGGATCTTTGCCTAAAAAAAAAATAATGAAAGCTTAAAAAATCCTCAAAACCGCCACTTACACTTTTATGAGTGGCGCGAAAGTGCGTTCCGAGATCCCAAAGACACTCGTATAGAAAAGACTCGCTCATGTTGGGGTTCTGCTCTTCGTGCGTGTAGAGCAAAGCAAGCGCAATAAGGCACTTCCGGCGAATAAGAGAGTCGGAAGGAAACTTTGTGTAAAGCTCCCTTAAAAACTTCATTAAAAAAAATAAAATAAAAAGGAAGCAAAAAAATTCTTATAATCTATTTTAAAAGAAAATTAAATTTGTTCATTGGCTTGTACAAGTCCACAGAAGAATTACACAAAGAAGAGCGTTTTTGCCGAAATGTTTTTATTGGACTCACGAAATACCTCTTCTGACTTTTTAGACGAATCGGATAAAATCTTCATGCATTCCGAAGGCAGCGAGCTTTCGCTACTGGCTGAGTCTTCTTCTGTGTTCACTCCATAAAACTCTAGAAATTTTTTTTAATGAGTTCTTTGTACAAAATTTTTTTTACTAATTTTTATTTTATACTTTTTTTAATGTTCATAATAAAAATAATAGAAAAGATAATTAAATTTTATTGACCTTTTATATAAGAACACTTTCTTATTACAGAAAATAATGAAATGTGTGAAATGTGCTGGGTCCTCTTAAAAAAACTAACCAAAAGTTAGCGGGTTGACCCCGTTTAGGAGCAGCTGAAAATCACAGAGTGTGGAGGCTAAAGCGAACTCCTGATGTTGATAGTATATAATAATAAGCAAAAAATTCATAAAGAAATGATAAATATAAATAATAATCAGTAAAATAATAAATAAACTAATAATAATAGATAACAAATAAAAACTGATAAGTAAAAAAGGTGATAATTAATAGTAATAAGTAAAAAAAATTAATAAGTAAATAATATTATTAATGAATAATAAATAAGATATAATAATTTGTAAACTAATAATAATATTTAGTAAATAAATACATAATTAAAAAGTTAATAATAATAATTAAATGAATAAAAGATAATATTAAGTAAGAAATTAATAAATAATACTAATCATTAGTATAAAAAATCATTGGTGTTAATTAATTAGTAATAATATTAAATAAGTTATAACAATAATTGGTAAAAGATAATAATTGAAGTAAATAATAATGGTAAGTATAAAAATTATAAATAATATTAAGTAGATAAATGAAAATATTAAGTAAAAAGTTAATAGTAATTAAATTATATATAAAAGAAGTAACAATAATAGTAAATACAGAAATAATAAAGAATAATAATGATAAGTAAATATAATCTCAATAAATAATAAATAACCAATAAGTAATAATTTAGGTATAACTAATACAAAATAATGAGGTAAAAAAAATAAGTATGATAATGATAAGTAAATAATAACAACTCAATTAATAAAAATATTAAGTATAATAATTATAATTACATAAATAATATATAATGCATGAATACTTTTGTAAAAACATATTGAGACAGCCACTCTGGTGCAAGAGAAGGAAGCTTCGCCACGAGGCGCTCCAGTGGCGGGTCAGAAAAAGAACGGAGGGTAGAGTCTGTTCACGAAGCAAAAGGCTCAGAGTGAGGGACAGCTTTAGTGAGAAATAGTTTTAGACCAGTAGAAAATGCTGCATACAACTTGCACAGTTTCTCAAGAACTTCATTCAAGCTGCTTATTCGGCACTTGTAAGCAATTGACTTTTGCTAAATAAATGAAGAGTTAAATATAAATAATAGTAATCACAAAAATCTTGACCTCCAGTTCCAACAAATAAACAGGAACGCTCATTAATGGAAACTCGCTTAAAACAATACTCACAAGTGCCGTATACGGATCTTCTGAAGAGCACAAATGGTTCATTACAGGCGAATTCTTCTAATAGGATAAGATAATTTATAACTAATCACAACAAAGTTTGAAATATACCTCATGATGAGAGAGTGACGCCATTTGGAGTAGGCTATGGGAAATGACGCCATCACAAGCAGCCCTACGTTTTCTTATTTATCAAGTAAAGCAAATAAATAATATTAAAAAATAACCAATAAATAGAGCACACACGTAAATTTTTATTTAATAACTAATTTAAATTAATAAAGCAAAAAAAATATATATATATTTTATTGTTAAAAAAAAATTAATTAGTAATATGAAAAGCAGATAAACAATAATTAAAATTTTTTTAATCATACATAAAATTCAATTAATCTTATGAATAAATAAGCAGAAATTGATTATAGAAAAAAACAATAATTTTTACTCTTTTAATTGGTGGAAATAAAATTCCAGTGAAGTGCGCAAAGGTAAAGGTTCTTCAAAACAGAAAAGTAATTCACAGCATTCCATGTAATAAGAACACCAATTATCAGCAGGTATTTGGGAAAGTTTTTGCAAATTGTTGAGCCTTATTCGTCGTATAAATCGTTAAAAAAGATTTTTGGGGCAAACAATAACTTAAAAATAAATGAAAGGTTGCAAGAGAATAGTATCACAAAGATTTGGTAAATATAAACAATACAAAGCTTTGAATTTTCAGTAAAAAAAAATTGTTGAAAAATTTTAACGAAATAATGCTCCAAATGACTAATAAAACTATGAATAACGACAAAAAAAATTTAAAAGAAAAGTATTTCAAAATTTACTCAAAACCAACAAAAAGTCAACCACAAAATTTTTTAATATTATAATGGATACACCGCACTATTGATAATGAAATACTCTTTGACTAAATTATCTTTTTTCTGTTGCACAGTTTCGCCTTTGAGATAGTCCTTAGCCTTCTCAATGGAAACTTCAATAATGCTTTTTAACCAATCGCATTGTCCATCTACCTGTCAGTTTATTTCGTTAAAAAAACATGGAGAAATAATAAATAGTAAAGTAGTACAGTGGTGAACTTCTGTTCAGTATTGCCAGAATTGAAAGCTACTGGTATAATCATTGGAAGTTCCAAGGAAATTCTGAAGTTTTTATTTTTAATATTATTAGCAGTATAATTTTTCAGAACTATTATGAATATTTAAAAGTCAAGAAGCAAAAAAAAGTAATGTATATTGGTAGTGTAAAAAGTTGATACACTTTTTAATAAGCATATTTTACTCTACAATTGAATCGTAAAACTCTTACTTTTTACAACTTTTAATAATTTTTTAATGAGAATTTTAATATATAAATTTTGCCAAATGACAAATAAAAAATGTTTATAAACTCCAATTAATGTTTAATAATTTATAATAAAATTTACCGCGACTCCTGCAAAAGTCTTAATGAAACTTCAGCAGAAGTTTCTACCTTCTTGAATAAATGCTTAAATGAACTGCCCGCGCGCGCAGTTTCCAGCTCGTATCCAGCGTCCCAATTTTCAAACTTTTAGTAATAAAAGTTTAAGTGTTTATATTTTAATGAAAGAATTTAAATTTTACTCGATAAAAAAAGTCTCATTTAAAACATAATATCAGAAATACTTTTTCAGTAAGAACATTGAAAAAAAAGTGTTTATAGTTTTCTATAAAAAAACACTCTCCACAAAATCTCTCACCAAAAATAATACTTTTTTCAAATTTTATTTGCTTCTCCGAACCTTATACCAATTGGTTATTATAATAAAACATCAGCGCCCATTAGCTAATGCTAAAGCAAATTTTACAAAGCCAGCATTCCCTACAACTATTCCATGTCAGCATTTTTCATGCCCCATCTTCGAGCCCAACACTTAATTTCACTTAATATATAAAGTGGTGTTGAATTTTTAAGTAATATAATTGTAGGAAGTTAATAAATTTATTATTACAGCTTTTATTTATTTAATATGAATATAGTGAAACTATTTTTTAAGATAATTAAAATTTGAAGAATTTCACTTTATTGTTACATCTTTTATAAAAAAATAAAATCTATTAAAAAAGTACAACATTCACATTAATGTCGATTATAATTGATGCCTTATAACCTTTGAAATAGCGGCAATTCATTATTAACTTAATAAAAAATTGTAGAGTGCAATTTTTAGTGACATTTTTTTTGTTATACATAAATATATCTCCTTAAAATATCCGCCTAAAATAAAAAAGAAAACTTGGGATGCTTAAGTGTAAACCAATGCAAATTTCATATAGTTAAAAGCAGTTCATGATATACAATGAATACTATATAACTAACAGAAGAGACTTGAGAAAGAGTATCTTCAGAAGTTTGTTTTTGTACAAAAGTTGACAGTTTGCTAATAGGAGTCTTCTGATTATCAAAATCAAAGTCGTCTAAAGTATAGGAAAAAATATTGAAAATTTAACGATAATATTAATAATATTAACGGTACTTGACCAGGTAACAAGCCAATAAAAATACAGTAGAAAGGGTTTGTTGTAAAAATAAACTAGTCCCTTGGCCGGATAATTAGAACCAAATTTACTTAATAGATATACTTAGATTTTTAATTGGCTCTCTTTATTCTCTTTTACAGTGCTAAACTACTTTAATAGGTAAATACTAATCAACAAGCATGACAGGTATTAAAAGCATGTGAATTAACGAAGTTGCCCATCTGCGCACGCTTATGGGCGCTAAGCCTTTACAACGATAGTCAATAAAAAATGCCAGAATGCGACACGCATTCAAGTTACCATATTATTGCAAGGGGCAAACGTTTACCAGAACAGTATCAAATTTATTTTGGCCGTTATAAATTAAACCATTATAGTGGTCCTCTTTGAAAACCATGGAGAGAGGAAGCTCGAATAGCCAATTGAAATGCAGAATACATAACAGAAAATATCTTTTGGTACGACTAAACAATTATCCAGTTAGAAAAAATGTTTAGTGATATGACCCTTTTGACAGGTCTATGGAGCGTAAGGTTGTTTTATTGGTATATACAAATGTTTATAGAGCCCAAATACATAAAAATAATGAATCGTTTAGCCAACGATAAGTTTTTACTTTAAAATTAAAAACCAAAGGGAAAAAAGCAACAAATATTCGTAATTAGAAAGAAGATGTGCTATTGGCTAATTGGAAGAGTTACTATTAGTAGTATAATTCACTGAGAACAGAATTTCAATTGCTACAAAGAATAGGAAAAACAATTTTATGTTGCAGGTACAAATAAGGAAAAAATTTTCATTTAAAAATATATATTTCGGTATATTTCCTAAAGTAAAAGTCCTTCCCCAACTTTGGGTGCTATAGAAAAAATGGAAGAGACCACGTACAAAAAAATGTAAGAATAATTTTCTATATATTATATGAATAAAAAATAGCCCCCAAAAATTTAGTACATTCAAAATCACTCTCATCTTCTCCGAGATTTCTACTTCCCGCGCCCCCATTGAGGCGTGAAGACAATTCCTTACCAAATTCTTCCTCCTTCCAGGTGGGCGTCCTCTGATTGGACGTTCCAACGGCGAGAGAATCTAGATTGAGGTGGGAAAGCGGTAATGGAACGAAATGGAAAAAAAACAGCAAAAATTTTTTAAAGAAAGATATATAAAGTTTAATTAGCGTTCATAATTTATTGTTGCTTTTGTACTGGTAAACTACTTATAATAAAAGTAGTGAAGTGCATTATAAATTATATATATATATTCCCTGATGAATGATCTTCAATCTAAAGCTTAATTATGGATATTAATATATTTTATTAGAATTCTAGATATTTACTTACACTTATTATAGGTAATTATACTTAGATGATTATAAACTTTAATATAAAAATCTACAAAGATCTCTAAAAATTTCATTATATTTAAAAAGCATTAACTTTGGTGCTACCGGCTTTGAATAATCCAATATTTTATATAAAAAGGTTAAACACTTTTATGTAAAGTCACACTACACTTTTTCCTTAAATTAAGTTTTCTAATTTTTTTCGCTAAAATTAATTAAATTTATATATTTATTGAACTTAATATTTACTCTATTTGTTATTTTTTTCATAAAAATTATTAAAATTTTTATATAAATATTTATTTAATAGAAAACATTTATTTCATTTCCATATATTTTATGATGAAATATAAATTTTATTTCGTTTGTTCTGCAAATATTTTAATGATAAAAACTACTGGTGATATAAATTTTAATTTAACTTTAATAAAAATTATTTCATTAGTTGTTTAAATATTGTTTCCAATTTATTAATAAATAAAAAATTCAATTTACTTATAATAGAAAAAAATTGTTTCAGTTATTGTTTAAAAAAATTTAAATAACGCAAACTATTTATGAATATAGAAAAACTAATATATTTAGTATATACTTTATAATATGATATAAAATTTAAAACTTATAATATTCTAAGATTACGTTATTGTTGTAAACCAATTTAAAAAATACACATTTTAATGAATATTACTTATAAACTTTTTATTGTAAATACAATTAAAAGTAAATATAAAATCCAATTCTTTATTATAAATGTATTAAATGCTAATATAATACACATATCTATTTAATAATAAATTAATTTCATATATTGTAAAACTTTAATAGAAAAAAAATTTTATAATTCATATTATTAATTCATATAATAATCAATTTACTTGTATATACATTATATAAGTATTATTTAAAATAATATTTACATATAAGGATTATAGTTTCTTTTATTATTGAATAGTTATAATTACTGGGTAATAACAAAGTAGAAGAAGTATTAGTGAGGTAACTAAAAACATTTACACGTGCGCCAACGCCACGTGTAAATGTTGCGCGTGTGGTTACATGGAAGCTTCTACAGTGTTGTACTTTTTATTATTATTATTCTCTATTATTTAATCCTCTTCACTGAACTATTTTTAACGGACTTGAAATCTCGATTTTTTTTAAAGCAACCATTTTTTAACAGAAAAAGTTTATAAGTTTCATTTTTTATTAGTAATTTTTTAATATATATTATTTTTAACCAAAAAGTGTTATTTATTTAATTCCCATGATTATTATTAACATCCTTTGAAGGATATGGTATTATAATATTTATATGTGTATATAATTAAAATATTAATATTATTTGATAATTATTATCAAAAAAAAAGTTAAAAGTAAAAAAAAATTTACCTAATACTATATATTTACTATTTATTATTAATAGAGTAAAATGTAAACCAGAGGAGGCATGTATGAACACTTCCATAATAAATGACAAAGCAACCAATAGAAAAATTGATAACTACTAAGATAACCAATCACGAACTGTAACACTTTGCTCACCAACCATGTGACTCGGAAGTTAACTTTCCCTTAAGCGTCTTATTACCATCATCCCTACAAAAATTTACGATAAAATTAATCAAAAATACTGTGAAAATTATATTTACTAAAAAAAAAACTATGAAAAGAGGAATACATTTATAATAAAGTAATTTAAAATAATTATTTACTGCAAAAAAAATACTGAAAAAAAAAGTTATGAAACCAAAAAAAAAAGATTTCAAAGCTATTTTAATTAGAAATTAAAATAGATTTTATAATTATACTATTTATAAAAATTTGTATAATGTTTTGACAGTTGATGAAATTAATAAATAGGTTCAAACGAAAAGAATTCTAAAAATATTAAGTGAAAAATGCGGAGGTTATTATTTTTTTAAAAAATTAGAAAAAAAAGTATATAATTTGCGTAAAGCGTACAACTTTACACATATTCAGTTTTCTTCAAAATAGTATTAATAAAATAAGATTTAATATAGAAATCATAATAAACCACAGAAGTTCAGCTTAAACTTTATAACTAATATATAAATATACTTTTTTATCAAATATTCAAACCTAAACTTTTCCTACTTTAGGAGATTAATCAGTAGATTATAATAAACTAAAAATTATAATACAATTTCATTATAAAAAGAGCAACTACAATAGTATCTATACAGTTCATTACTAACCAATATATCTAAAGGTTAAGAGTTATCTATACTATTATTATTTTTGAAATTAAAAAAAATATATTATTTATGCTAAATTGTACAGAATTTAGTAAAAAATAATACTTGAAAAAAAATGTATATAACTACCACACAACTTGAAGTTAAAAATTCTCCTAATTTTTAAATGAAACGTTGCTAAACCCAAGAATGTTAACAAATAAAATAAACTCTTTAAAAGAAATGTTTTAAAGCTAGAAATTATAAAAGCAACCAGAAACTTAATTTCTTAAAGCAGCCTTCTAACAACGGAGAAACTGTAGACTTGCCGGCATCAGAGTCACTTTCGATGTCTTTAAAAATAAAAAAAGATATATGGTAGCATTATGCTTTATAACTGACTTTTTTGCATATAAGTACAAAGGAAGTATTAAGCTAAAAATGTAACAAACATATTATGATTAGATCAACTATTTAATAATATTATATGTCAGTAATTAAAACTGAAATAAGAAAACCATCATAGTCTTCAAGTTGTTTAAGGGAGTTACTCTCAAAAGAAGAAAGGTCATCCACAGAGCTAATAAAATCAGAATCCCAGTCCTCGCTTTCTGTGGTGGCCTAGAAAGAAATAAGAAATGATTCTAAGGTAAATAAGTTTAATTAAGTAATAACCTTTGACAACCGCTGTTCTGAGGAGTTCATTGATATATTTAAAAATACAAGCAAATAAGATTTAAGAAAATCATTTATACAAAAATTAAAATAGGTAAAATCTTTCAGTAAAATCTTTGAAAAACTTACCCCGATTTTTGTCTTCGTCCATTAAAAAATATATGTAAAGTTATTAGAAAATTTTCAATTAAAGCTGAAAGATCAGCGATCATGAAACATAGATGCAAAGAGCGAGCGAATAAGAAGTTTTTTGTGTTTCGTTTTTTATAGTGAAGCAAAAACCTCGCTCGCTTTAGTTATAAGTTAATATATTTACTTATATCGTTAGGAAAAAAATCAAAAGTTGATTTGAGCGTTTTACAGAGTTGAAAGGTTTGTCAGAAAGTAATAAAATCCTTGTGCGCTAAATGTAATTCAGTGAAGGTAATTATAAAGGACTTGAAGCATGATTTTTTCTCTTATTGGAGTAGACGTCCATATTTGGCGCAGTAAAAAATTATGGGCGATTATTTAAACGTTTTGTTTACGAAGACGCACTAACATATGCCTCTTCTTTTTTACTTTATGTAATATACATTAAAAAAAAATTATCCTTGCACTTAGGAAATTAATATTGAAAGCCACTCGGGGCCCTAGTATTTCATAAATTTTTGTAAAGGGAAAGTAATAATAAAACTGGGCCCATTAGTAAAAGTTTTTCATTTTGGGTTTATAGGAAAAATCTCTCCCTCTGATTACGCCACTCTCGCCCTAATAGACTCGTTGGCAGTGATCTAAGAAATTTTGTGTTCCAGTCTATGTAAAGTTCTCAACATTTTTATAAATATTTGTATACTGTCATTCAAGCTTATAGGCCTCACCGCACATGGTAGCTTTGACGAGGTTTTCCATGAAGTTTATAAGGCCGCAAGAGTTTTGGCTTTGCTATTAAGGCAACCGTGATGTCGGTGCATTACTCTCAATTTAATAACGATAAAAAGTTAATTTTAGCCAAGTTAAAAACTGCTGACATTAGTAGAAAGGGTTGTTTAGATTGCCCTTTAATAGATTTAATAACTTGGCTAAACTCTCAAGGAGATTTCGTTACCACTTCTTCTTGCTCCGGACGAGTTTGTATATGGTGTCCTAGTAACAGCCAAACATTCAGAGAGAGTACCAATATCGAAGAAGTCATGTCGTTAAGTAGAGATATACCCGATATAAAATCTATTAACGAAATAGATTTTAATTCGGGGATGTACAGAAAAGTCTCCACTGTAAAACGTTAGTTAATTTTTTACTGTTTTTCGGTTTCACTTAAACAATCTATTTAAATAAGAGGGAAAGGATTTTACCAAATCCGGACGTTGGATTTACGTTTCTCACGAGTGTGCAGACCTAACTACCATACTTAAAGTTATAAATGAAAATTTAAGTAACTGTGAAGAAGCCCACTTTAAATACCAGGTCCTAAAATTACTTGCTTTATGCCCTTCAAGTCCGCTTACTACAAATACGAACCAGCAGCCTTTTATACTACACGTCTTATGCCGTTCTTTAGAACATGCTAAACTCCTTTTGAAACTATCCATTGGTGCTGGATACCGACATTCGGGCCTCACTTGTGCTAATAAAATGATTTTGGTTAATCCTATAAGTATTTAAGTACATTTTTAAAATTGATTTACTGTCAAAAATTACTAAAATTATATATTTCTTAAACATCTTTATAATAGTTATAAGCACCTTTTATTTCATAGTATTTAACTTAACCTTTATTGTTGCGTTTTTTTAAAAAATTTACTGAAGCAAATTTTTATTAATTAAATAATTTTTTTTAGGTAATTAGAGACACAGTCGGAATAGATGCTCCTTTAATATATCACGGAAATAAACAAGTATCAGACGATTATGTGAGAATACTTTGCGAAATAGCCAACGAAAAACTATCGCACAACTTTCGAAAAATAAATCAACTTTTTAATGCCTTTCAAAAAGGTTCTATTTTTAACGAAAAAATAACCTTTTACTCTATAAATTCTAAAATTACAATAGGTTTACCTGAACAACTCTACTCAATAAATGGGGCTAATTATTATTAACTACGGAGCAAAAAAAATTTTGAAACACTTTAAATTACATTTTTAAAGTAAACTGGTTTAAAAAAAATTATAATTCCTTTAAGTAACATAAAAAGAGTCTTTATTATACTTAAACAATGAGAGGTTTAGCAGGGGATAGTGGCAGGGTTTTGAACAACAATGATAACTGAATCTCCTCGAAGAAACATTTTACTAATATGTCTAGTTATTAAATAAAAAAAATAAATATAAAAGGAAGCGCTAAAAAGAAATTAAAAAAAATACCTATACTTATTAACAGGCCTCCCCTGCCGCTGACCTTTAGATTTCTTAGGCGTTTCAGTCCAAATTTCCTGAACATTTTCCAGAACCTTTATATAATTTATATAAAGGGAAAGGTCATAGCACTACATTTATACTAACCATATTACAATGACGATCAAAAGCTCTGACTCTAGCCAGGAGTTTTTTATTATTTCTACAGTTAATTAAAACCTTCATAAAAATTATTAAGTCTACTACAAACTAAGTCTCAGAAAGCAAAGCCTTAACTTGAGAATTTGTCTTAACAGCCGAAGTTAATATCGAAAAAGGGCCAGTCTGAAACTCCTGTTCTTCAAGCTTAGCCAATTCTTCTGCAGTTAACTCCGCTTTATTTACTTCACGGCTCATATTGGAATAATCCTGCATAAACTGGTGGAATGGCAGGCGTAAGAAATTAACTGACACTGGAATCTTTAATAGCCATCCTTAATAAGTTCACATGTCAGGGGCTTGAGGTCTGCCTCCTGGTCAAGCATAGCACAATGAAATAGTATTTATTTACAGCTTATTAAAATAAAAAGTGCAATCAGATATTAAGTTCTAGGCTTTACTTGAATTGCAGTCTTATAGTTATATTCAATTTCATGTTGATTTTAAAGATTGTAATACAACTATTTTACAATTAACCTAGATTAAGTTGAGAGCTACTTGTTATGACTATGGATACATGTCATGTTAAACTACATGTATTGATGTAAGAGACCTCGCTGCCCTGTTTTATAAATGTAGTAAAAGTCAAAGTATAATAACTTTCACTTTCGATAACTTAGTTCTCTATTGCTTTTACTTTATTAGCTATTTAAACATTGTACCATGCGCGTTAACCTTTTTTAAGATGGGAATAGAATAGCAGTAAAAAGTTCACTTTTACGTTAAGGCACCGCTTACTTTCCTTTACTACACTATATTGCTACTTAAGTTATTTATATATATTACGACACAGTTAACAGAAATAATGATATATGGTTTATACTAACTTGTCCTCTTTAGCTACTAAGATATACGCTATAATTCTTGAAACGCTTAAAGCTAAATTTTATTCGGGGTCGCCAAGCAATTAGAAAATAAGTTTTGGTTAGGCTAGCTTTATTAAGACTGAATATTACGAAAAAGCGTAACGTTGGGTGAAAGTTTTTATGTTATTGTAGGCGCAATTTATTATCTATATGTTAATTTAATATTTACATTTTAAACGCATTTTCAATTTTTAATTTAACCCCTACATTAAGGTGGTATCTCCTTACTTTAAGGTAAAAGGGAAAAGCTTAGCTAATAATCATGGGATGAACAGTATATAGTTAATTTTAAAAAAGTTTCAAGTTGTTACTTTTGTAAAAAATGTTTATGCTAGATGTGAAGGGGTAAAATCAGTAAAAGCATTTGGATTATAATATAAAAATTTCAACAAATTAACCACCACCTACCAAGCATATTTTAAGTTTTAAAATTTGCTATTGACATATTATTTGGCACATAAACATAAGGATGACATAGTGATTGCTTAAACTAAGAATTTTGCATTGTTATTTCTTAATTTTGTAAAATATAATATAGAAAGATTAAGGGTAACAAACGGGCAACATGTTTTTCCTCCTTTATTGTCTTTCCTTTTATTTTTCTATTGCCTTTTTCGCTTGCTTTCTTATTAGACCGTTTCTATCTTGGTCTTTATACACGTCTTTTTATACCTTTTAATCATTAATAAAATAAGTACTTATTGCTCTACAAGCATATATTCCAAAAGTATAGTTTAGGGACGGGTATTACATGAACTTTTATAAGTTATTTAATTATAGTTTGATTGCCAGGATGGTTAGAACTTATATGTATGCACTGCTCTATGCTTGTGCATTATGGTAGGAAACAAATACAATATAGACACAAAATAATAGAAGACAATTTAACTACTTAAATTTATAAAAAGTTAACTAAAGTGATCTGAAAACTCACGAACTAAATATAAATTTAATGCACTTTTCTAAGACTAAACAGTTGTACCTTTTACCTTCAAAAATCTACACCAACTCTGCTATAATGCTATGATACATTTTTAAGGTTATTTAATTTAAAAAATGTATGATTATTGCACTAGCGCACCATATATATAAACATTTACACTTAATATAAAATTGACCATTTTCTTTCGTATATCGCGCTTCTCTACTTTTTTGTTGTTCTTTCTGACGGCAGGGTTTAGTAATTGATTAAAACTCATTCCAAAACCAAACAACTAAACTAAACTTAATTAGTGATCTAAAGGGTTACTATTAACTCGAATCATTATTTATTAAAGCACATAATGTTAGTGTATTTAAACCTTTAAGCCCTTTAAAATTAATTGTTAACAAATTTATATACATATATATAGAGAGAGAGAGATGTACAGGTGCGACTAAAACAAAAAAAGCACTAAAAAAAAAGTTAACACGACTGCCGGTTTATTTTCGTGAACCTTATATGCTAACAGCTAAACAGTGACATAATTAATAATAATAATCATAAAATTGCCTAAAAATGGTAATTTGCGATAAAACTTATGAAGTGGAATCTTTTCCTCCAAAATAGTACCAGGAGAAAAACGGTAGTCTTCACTGTTAGTTGCAACATACAGAAATTAAAAGAAGAAATTCTATGTCAAGATTAATACTAATTAATTATAATATTTTGTCCAGCATCTTGTCTAACTTTTTCTTATTCTGATAATTGATGTTGTGCTATTATCGTAAATGCAGTAAATAAGTTAGACTCTACAAAAGTCTACGTATAGTTGCCTAACATGTCATGTTTTTAAAATAAAAAATTGATAAAGAAGAAGCGATTCTTATTTATTAAAAAATTAAAATATTAGCAAGGCCCCCAAGAAATATAGAAACTTGTAATGAAAAAACAAAAAATGACTAAAACTTGGCATAAAACAATTATTACGCTTTTGACAGTAACTTAATTTTTTTAAAATTTTTTGAGTAATTATTGTTATAATTAAATATTTATTGACGGTAAATAATTATAGTGAATTTTTAATTTATGCTCGTTATTTTATATAATTTTGAGTATTAAAATGCCCACTGCAACTGTTATATACAAGCTGTAAAAAAGAACAGTTACAAAGTTTAGTCAGTAATTTTAAATATTAATAGATTTTGTTTTAAATAAGACCTATAAGGGTATACTATACATATATGTAAAATAGTACATGGATATTGTTACATTGGAAAGGAAGGATTTCATTTTTGTTTTCGATATGTACATTAATCTTTGACAAAAGGATATAATTATTTTCATATATATTAAACTGAGCTGAAATCAATTTTTTTTTGATTAATTTTTATTCATTTAATGTAATGGTAAAATTTTAATTTAATTTGGTGGACTGTAATTTATGCAGATAATAGAAACATTTTTTAATGTTTGAGATCTTTAACTTATTTAATTTACTTTCGGATCATTTTTTCAGTCAATAAATTTTGTGTTTCTGTTATGTATTATTGCGTTAAAATGTTTTTTTTGTTTTTATTTCTTTATTATAACCGCGTATATTATGTGTCTGTTTTTTTGTAAATTAAGTAGGGATTTTCTATTTTTGTACAGACAGTAAAAATGTCGGTCGTATTACTCCCGGGCTTTATCTCACAATTTTTTCTTTGTAGCTCTTGTTTTACGTGATGATAAAAACTTCTACGTGTCAGTTTTTATTAAAGGCGACTACTTGTCTTCATTGTCGTTAAAATAATCGCTCTGATCGACTTTTTTGAAATGTTTTTAATCTTCTGTTTATATACTATTTTGCTTAACGTCAAGTATTACACTACGAGATAATTTCAAATACTACTTTTATCTATAAGCTTGCTACTATAATACCCTTAATGTGGTTAAGATAGTCATAGTTACCAGCCCAAGATGGATAAGTATAGCACTCGATGAATTTGTCACCTAGATTAAGGGGGTCAATTTTGGGTCTAATATTTTAATAGAGTAGCCCAATACTTTTCATTGTTTTACGTTGCTTATAAGCGTAAAACGCCCAAGTAAGGTTGCAAGCGCATGTAATGCCAGGTCTAGTAGTGGCGGCTATGTCTTTTTACTACCAATGTGTTGGTAATTTTAGAGTTTAACGCGTGTAGGTAGAAATTTCTGTATAATTTTACGTCTGTTCTATAAAACTCCGCCTGTATAATTTTTTTCTTATAATTCTTATAATTTTTTGTTCATTGTTAAAGGTTAATTTCAATATTTTTTGTACCACGATAATTGTATTTCTTTCGTATGTTGTTTAAAAAGGGTATATGATCGTATAGGTAAATGTCTTCCAGAATGTTGGTGTTTAATTCATTTTAAAGTAAAAGTGTTCTCTCTATATTTTGTAATCTTGTACGAATGGGTTTATTTGTTCCTTTGTTGTTTTAAAAATTTGAAAATTATCACCTGTATGTGCCTTTTGTGTGGAATGAGGAGGTGTATGATGCGTTTAACGGTGTTAGTTTCTGCATTTTTATTCACTTATCGATATATGTTTGGCGTTTAGGTCGTAAGTGTTTAGTTGTCGGTATTAATGCACTTGAATGTTTAAAATTTCCTTTTAAGCTTTTAGGCTCTTCTTAAACACACACGCCCTCTAAATATTAAGCTCCCAATAAACCATCCCGTAGACAGTTACTATCAATACTTCGGTCGGGCCTGCAGACTACAAAAACGAAATATCGAAATTGTGTTTTTACTAAATTAAAATGAGTATATATACACAATTTTAAAATAAACTTGATAGATTAAATCTACCAGTTAAAATTAATATAAATGCAAAGAGCATACCCTCAGTTGTATGGAATCTACCCTTTTTTTTATCTTTTTTTAACTGCGCACTGTAATTGGATCATATAAGCAACATTGAACTTCTAATGTGTTCATCGTGTAATGCAGTATTAATTGTTGTTATCTGTAGACTTAGAAACGTTTTTTTGTTTGATAAAAAATTATTTTTAATGCAAGAGAGAGATTTCCCTAGATCTGATTTGTATGTATAGTAAGTATTAAAACTCTCATCAGTGGAGCAGGTTGATTAAGACGGCTTTATAACTTCGCAAGTCGATCATTAAAATATTTTTTTTTATATCTATTATCGTATATTTAAGCTTGAAGCCTCGTAGTTTGTAAGTTTCTATTCTTCGAAATTCTAAGTGGTATATTTAGTTAGTGATAAAAGGTTATGGTCTTATGTGACCGCACTTCAATATTCTAACAAATGTTTAGTTAAGTATACATCGTGTCACATAGGAGGTGGTATCTTGAGTAGAAACTAAGCTAAAGAGTGTTCAGTATAAGATATTCTTTTTTAAAAAATCCTCATCCATGAACTCACTCCC